GCCAAGAACGTATATGAACAGGTCCCAGTCCGAGAAAAGGATGGAAGGATCCTGTTCATATGGACCTGTCGGCAGACAGAACACTACAAATAAAAAAATCAACTTAAAACTCTCAATAACAGGTTTCCATATTCGACATCCAAACCAGAGACTTCCCGAATGTAAAGCAGGGGGCGTGGCGGAACAGCTTTACCTTCTTAACATCTTTGTGAATGCGAGTTTTCTACCAAATTCAGTTTAATATTCCTGCATTTTCAGAGTCTGATATGGTGTAGTTTTTTCCTTCTTCCTGCAAATACGTCCACTGACTGTTGTTTCAGCCCTCACGGCAACTGTGATCAAGTCAGTCACTCAACAACAGACGCTTCACTTCCATCCACTCCAGCTAAGGAAGAGCAGGGGAATGCAATGAGACGCCGTTCATGCAGCGACTCTGATCACTGCATCGTGTTTAGTTTGCTCCCCAAATTCCGAATTAGAAATTAATTTTTGACTGATATATGCCTACATCAGTCTACCGATACGGTTATACTAACCAAGTTCTTCACTGAACTCGGTAAAAACAGTGCATGCAACTTCGTTCCTAGGCAAAGAAGGCAATCGACTGGACAAAGCAGGAAAAAAAATGCATGGGGAAGGTTGTATTGTCGCGACAACTCGTGGCGTGCCGTGTGTTACACGTTGAAGATTATCCCAGCAGCAACATTCACAAAAAAAAACAGAAGACGCATCAACACACGTGGCCGACCCCACCCCCTTCAAGAGATGCGTAAGGAAGACACAATAGTACCTTCCCGCCACGTCCAAGATCTTGATAAACTTGCTGCCCTCTTCTCAATTATTACACCAAATGTCTAGCAAGCACTCGAAACAAAACGTTGACAGGACATTGACATTTTAACTGGCATTCTGGTCGTAGATGAGATTTGTCGTTTTCACTACGATGATGATAGTATCAGTAAGCTCCTCTAAAACGTCGGTCAACATCTACCAGATTACACGGTGTAATTTCCCAGAACACAGCCACGTTCATTCTGGTATAAGCCTATAATCCCAGAGCTCAACATCGCTGATAATAAAACCAGCACTGGGCTTGATTCTGGACCAGTTCCACCACATCATTCTAACAACCGACTTTCCTCCAAAAGTCGTCTAAATGTTCCCTCCGTGCCCTTTTCCTAAAAGGTACTCCCCCGCAAAAGAATTCGACATGCATTAGTAGTTTCCTAGTGTAGGTTCATTCAATGCAAACAATTTATACTTGCAATGTTCTCTGGTCAGGAGTAACGTAAGGCAAAGATAAAGTTCTTCCCGGTTCCATGCAGATGTGCGGGGAGTGGAAGAACAGCTCCACGCACTCTTAATCTCGGTAGTAAAAGGTGAGAAGTCAGCTTCACACTCCGGCCGCTTTACCTCCGAGGAGATAAACACCGTAATTACAAGATAGGAGGACCCACAACAGGTCTGAAAGTTGTGGCGAAAAGAAAAATGCTGCCGATAATCGAAATCCGGTCGTCCAGCCCGTAGCCTTGGCACTACATTGACCAAGCATTGACCCTTTGCAACACCGGCACCAATATCATATTTGTCTAATATCATTAACAATCTACCGGTCGTTTATGCAGTAAATTTATTCACGTTCAGAATTACATCACTTGCGATCCAGAATTAAGCATCGGGCCTGAAACAGATCAAGATCGTAGTTTCTCGTCAAACCCTCCCATGTAACTACATTAAACTTCACTTTTAAACTACATTTAATGTTCCTGCCTAGCTGTGCGTACATATGGCAGGCCATTACTTTGGTCCCAGGACACAGCGGTGCAACTAGACAGCGTCTGCTCGAAATGGAAACCCTACAACACAAGCAAATTGGCTTTATTCTGTTTCAATCCCACTGCTACACTGCCACCACAGACGAGGGGAGTAACGATCATGAAAAAGGTAGTTGCGTTCCCGGAAGCCGCCAAAATCGAACACGCTTTATTCTATACACGTCATATTAAAAATAAGTTACGTTCGTAAGCGGACTTTCTCGACAGTGAACTTGACTGTTGCCTTACAATTATGAAACAATAGCACGGCATTAAATCACGAGTATACACAGTATCATATACCAAATATTATTCACTATAATCAAAACTAATCCTCGTGATCACTTTTCATGGATGTGAGCTGATCAAACTCATTCAGGACAAAGAAAACAAAGATAATCTTTAGGTTCCATAAAAAGCAGGAAACTCTTTGACCAGCTATGCAACTTCAACATTTTCAATGAAATCTGAACCACGGCAAGTTAAATCTTTAATAGCAAACTCAGGCGAACTGAAATATACTCATTATTTAAATCTTTTCAGAAACTTTGTTTCATCAAATCTGAATTCAACGTGTTACTACGTTGTCATCATCTATCGCAGAGGGCCCCATCAATTTGAGAGACACTGCTGCTTTGTATTAGCATTATCGTTGAAAGGAGGGGCTGCAGCGAATTAATGTCACGTCCTCGCCTTTGGTCGCCCAGTGGGAAAGATACCGTTCACTTCCCTGGTGAAGCCGACCAATGTGATGGAATTCCTATCGAATCTTACGTTAAGTAGCACAAATGTTTTGCGTACGTCAAGACTTGCGACGGTGTAAGTAGCACAAATGTTTTTTGCGTACGTCAAGACTTGCGACGGTATCAGGGCCTTGGTACAGGAAGTCTGCTTCCGGGTAAATCTGATATCGTTCACTACGAACAAATTAGCAAGGAAGTAGTTTCTTTTGCGGTTTTAACAGATTTCTTCATATTTTACGTTGAAATCTGAAGTCGCCTGTATGAGTTTCATTGCCAGAAACGTAGTTTACTTTAGTGCGCTGAATGAAAATAATATCAACAACTGTTACTATAGTGTTACTGAAAAACGTATGTCTGTGCGTCTCAAACCTTGTTCGTCATACTTTGTCACAAAACGCTAAGCCAGAGGGAAACGGTTGGTTTCAACACCCTGTCCCAGAACTTCGAATTTTTCATATTATAAAAAAGGCAATAAAATGTACGGGAATAAAATACGTACAGTATAATTATCAGAACTTTGCATAAAATAAGAGTATTTAAAGTTTATAATATCAGGTATAAGAAGTTTGAAACACGTTTGCAAGAATTTTATCTTCCAAGCCGAAATTCGAAGGGTTAAATTGAAGCACGAGAAAAAAGGCAAACTGTTGAGATTAACCACAAGGTACCTAAAATATGTTTTCATGAAAATTGTTTTTTTTTTTAAATTATAAAAGAAAGAAATATAATGACCGAAACTTCTGAAATCTATCTTATTTTAATTTGAAGCGGAACTTAAACGGAGACTTCGCCAGCAATTTAAGACTAAAAAATTCCCTTTGCAAGTTTTCCTATTTGCAGCGGAAGAAACTTTACGACTGGAACAAATCCTCACACTTTACTTTCACTATTAGCAAACCTTTCTTCTTTTTTGCCAGTTCTTGTTTTGTCATGTGTCTGCTCTCCGTTCGAGTATCCCACTCTTACTATTTTCTTACACTCCACTTCCTTTCATCTTCTACTTGTCCTGTCCCTTTTCTTCCTTACTCCAGCGTCATTCCATTACTGAATATTAAATAGTTTGACTCCAGATGTTAAGTGATAAAATTAACTTTTATAATTTAGTTTTCGCGTCCGAGACTGTACTTCTCAGGAAATGTATTTTATACATGAGCCAGACGAGCAATGTAACATGCATCTGCGGAGATGAGAAATATATACAGAATTTTAATCGGAAAACCAGAACAAATAATTTGGTAGACCTTGTCGAACGACGGATAATATTAAAGTGAATCCTGAACAAACAGGACGAGAACTGGATTCATGTGGCACAGTGCTGGGGTTTCGTGGAGGCTGTATTGAACTTCGGGTTAGAGAATTTGACTAACTGTGCAAATATCTGCTGCTCAAGATCTCTGCTCGACGGAATTACAGTTACTGTACTCCTCCCTGCAAGCCGACAGATACATCTGAAGATAAGAAGACGCCAGAGTTCATAACCGCCTGGTTAAATCCTCTGTTGAGTACACTGCGTTCTGATAGATTCTCCTTACAGACATCTCGTGACGTAATCCGGTGATGCATGGCGAGCTTGGCATTATAATCAGGGCACACCCTCATACCCTACCCCTTTCACAGCATCAAAATTATGCAACACACAATAATGGCCTCAATAACGCAGTGACTTAGCTTTCTGGATTTCAGCTAGAACCATGAAGACGCCATCGCGAATTTTATCTCATAGTTTAACCATTCAGAGCCAAAGCTTCTAGAAATAACATATTAGCATTCAGTTCGTAACTCAAAGAGAGCAATGCTTTCCCCTCATGAAGACCAGCTTGTTAAAACTGTTTACGCAAATATGTTAATCGCTACTTATTTCGAGAATTACATGTATTTCGAGATACCTGTCTCTGCTAGCGGATAATTTTCACCCATAAAATCATCAGATTGTAAGCATATAATTTATCAATCACCCTCGCTGAATTCTCGATTTGCATGGAAGCGTTCAAAGCAAAGAAGTGGCTTAATTGAATACGGAACTTCCCTTTCAAACGTGGCACTCTCGCAGAGCAGAATGACATTAGCGCCACGCCCATAACAGGTCCCGGAACGTGACACCTATACCTTGAAATGCGATTAATTCTGCCATCAGCATTAAGAACAAACGATTAATTGGATTATTCCTGTAACACTGCTAGACATCTACTGTACAGTGCGAATGAGGAACTCACAAGACAGATTTTATCAGTAAAATCTCGACAACCGTAATGGCGCCTCATCCAGAGATTCTTTCCTTCTTTCGCGCCACGTTTCAGTGTCATAAGCGCGGAAGATGACATCGTCTTACTTCTACGGCCTCAGAAGCTGTAGAGGTTTAGGGAATGGCGGACTTTCTCAAACATGAAACAAATTCGGCCTTGTGAAAGAGACATCTGGTGCGTAACATGGACCAATCACTCACCGCGGTCTTCCTGAAGCGCCGACTGCCACTCCGTCGCAGTGTGCCGCCTCGTATGTTGGCGTCATCCAGCTCCACCTCGGTGCCGTCCAGCCCAGAGCGTCGAGTCAGTTCGCACAATTCGGCTACGGGTTGGACCTGCAACCAAAAGCACAACCCTTGAGTCAATGAGGGACCTGGGACACGAGGAGGACCCCTCCTATTTCGACCATGACTCGAATGTGTCGACAAATTTTCGTATAACTCATTATAGAATTTCATGAAAATCCATTCGGCAGTTTTCTAGTTGTTATACAGACGGAAAGACGTACACAAATATTTGAAAAAGACAATTAACAGAGATTCGAATATGCCTAAAAAGCACGAAAGAGACACACAGCAGAAGGTACGGTCCAACGACGATGGGCTCCAACTGTTTAATGCGGGAACAATGAATTTCCGGATAAATGGCATGCAGGAAAGTGATGGACCACCGAGACAAACGACTTTGCTATATGAAAGCTCAGGTATTCAAGACAGTAAACGTTCTGTGATATTCTGAGATTCAACATGGAGTACCCTGAAGAAAACGCTCAGAAACGCTGGTGACCACCTGCACATCCGACCACACGGTGTGTCAACACAGAAGATAAACCACATGTTTGAACGTAGCCTTTCTATAGTCCGCGACTGTAATCTTCAGACATGCGGGGTGGAGGAGGAAAGCCTTTAACGCTTCGGACTTCCTGCAGAGGAGGAAAGCGGAAATATAGCGTCTGCCTTTAACGCTTCGGACTTCCTGCATTCCTTGCAAGTCTCAAGATTACATTCGCGTACTATAGTCCCTCCTGGCACGACGTGTATCACCACGTGTGTATTTGCCTACCCAACAGAAAGGGAATAATAACCCTAAAGGCCAATAACCTTCTGGGAGTGGATTGGTCATATCTGTACGGATAAGTCTGATATGTACAATGCAATTCACCAACAGGTCCCCCTCCTCCAGGAAATGACGTAAGAATGGGGCCAAGGGCACACCAGAACCGTTCACCATGAGTGGCTGCCATTTTACTGGCTTTCGGTGCAGGTTGCTGCACTAACAATACCGTTCCTCGTGGATGTAGGCCAAACAGGTTCTAACCACCTGAAGTAAGAAACTAATCTAAATAACATTTGCAAATTCAGTTCCTACATAAAAAAAGACGAAAGCCGTCTGTACATTACAAAGATCAGTTTTAAACGCATTTTTAAAAATGGCCCACTCTTATTCTGAGAATAGCAAAAGAACCATAAAAACACCATGTGGGCAAAATGCACAGACCGAGTGTTAAATTAGATGGAACATGTAGCCACCACTGTACCCTAAAGGGTTACAAGAGCTGTCTCTCTCCCCCCTCTCAACTCTTCTACCAGGAGTACGATTAATAAATGACGTCAACGGACTTTAGCCACACATGGTTCTAACTTTTAGATAATAATTAGTGTCCCGTATGGAATGTGACGCAAAGCGCCTTCCTTGAATCACGGCCTTGTTTCAATTCAGAATTAGTTTCGGAATAATGAATCCTTTGGACATTTAGCAGGACTCCCTAGAAGGGAATCGGACAGCATGATCTAATTCATTTACTCCTCAAAGCGTAAAATGTCCTGCAGGTTACATTTAATTTAAAATTCTAAGTTCCAACCGAGGCCATAGATGTTCACGTACAATTTCCGCCTAATTTTCAGGCTTAGTCTCTGATGACAATAACTCTGGAAGAAGGTCTTCATGGCTGGTGGAAACAAGTTCATCCTGATCAGACACAAAGTTTCTTGCCTCGGAATCCCAAGACTGAATATTACCGATGATTATGACCGAACACTATGGAAGATGCGTAAAATTGTTGGGAAAACGTGTTCAGTGGCTAGAAACAATACAGGTTATAATCAAATGATCCAAATAGAACTTCAGTTCTCCGAAGTTCTTTCGAAGTAATGACAGTCATAATCTCAAAAAGTACCAGCAATATCTGTCACGAAAAATTCTACAAACTTCATGTAAAGAAGTTTTCGGAAAGTCAGCGGTCAATATTTGATAAGATACTTCTAAAACTTCAGACAAACTGAAACTGAGAACACTGTCTGATCAATACCAAAGTGATCGATGTCAAAGTGCCAACGCGGCTTCAGTTTTAACATGAAGTCCCTATGAACGTGCGGCGAATGAGTATAAACGGAGATGATGGACAATTCAATACCCCCGTCTGACTTCAGTACGAAATAAGACCAAATATTAGGAATTAATTAAACTAATGTTTAATAATCATGCGACGGTATAATTATATCAGTTACGCAAACTCCTCCTCTGACTATTGATATACGGGCTTTCTATATTTATCAGCTGTTCTAGATATTACCCGTTGCTATGAAACCCGCATTTTTTCCAACACTCAAAGGTCCGTTACCGGACTCTATTCCGAGTTCACGCCCACATATATTTTAGTATCACCCACTTCAATATTATCTTCTCATCTATCATTTATTTTCCATATGGCTTCTTCCTGGGATGCACCTCGACCATACCGACGTGTTAATTTCTTTGTTTTTCAGAGGATGCGCAGCTCGTTTCATTTGTTTTACTTAGCAATCACAGCAACAAATAACAAGGCTCCAGAAACACAGCTTATATCTAGTAACCCATAGCGTACATATAAATATTTGTAAACCAACAGATGGCACGCACAACTCAACGTTAAGAAACAAAAGCATTCAACAATCAGCAATACATATATATAAAACTACAGAATCAACACATCGAACAATGCATTCGAAGGTGTTTATTATATTTCAAATCCACCTGACATCATCTACTGAACACGTGCTTAAAAATTAACCTCAGTGGAAATGGATCAGATTTTGGACATCACGTACATAAATGAAGGACAGTAAGAGCATCTTCATGGAACAAAATTAATCATTGAATAAAAATTTACTTGGATATTATCCATCGTCTAGTAATAAAACGTAAAAAACGTAAAACGACGTTTCGGAGATGGGGCTCTATCTCCGTCTTCAGGTTCCTACTCAGTTGGGCCCACTAGATAGAGCTAATCCCTATCTCCGGCCCAACTGAGTAGGAACCTGAAGACGGAGATAGAGCCCCATCTCCGAAACGTCGTTTTACGTTTTTTACGTTTTATTACTAGACGATGGATAATATCCAAGTAAATTTTTATTCAATTGACTCTTCACCATCGTCAAGAAGTTTTAGATTTGA